GGTGAACATTAGTTCGAAAAACATCGAAGGTCCTTATATGTATATATATATATATATATATATATATATATATATATATATATATACTAGCAGTAGAGCCCGGCGTTGCCCGGGGATGTAACAGTAAGAGATAGATCAAGTATCGACCTGAAAGACTGAAAAATAAAATTGACAAAGATTATTGTTTAAGGTTGACGGACAAGCATGTCTTAATTATTTTTTTTTACGAATTGGTCAAACCCAAACTCAAACAAAAACATTGTTTTCAATCGTTATGAGTCTACCGATTGAATAGAATTTTATTATAAACAATTGCCTTGTAAATGGAATTTTTAAAGCATTCTGAATGTAAAAATAAAGAAAAAAGTGTGCAAGACAATAAGAAACACTACCTGCAAAACAAAAGTGAAGTTTTGTTGAAATCGATTGAAAAATGTAGGAAATCCGATCCCATATATAAACGAACACACATACACACACACAAACAACCTGGGTTTTTATAATAAGTATAACTCGATATGAGTTGTCCCCCTTTCATTCTCGCGACAGCGATGCGTCTTAATCGTGTTTTCAAATGGATTTCGTGCAAAAACAATTGTGTTTTTCCCATTTTGGGCGCTGTCAGAACCACTGCAAGGTTATTTTACGTAGTCCTGTGAAGTTTTGTTGAAATCGGTTGAAAAATGTAGGAATTCCGATCCAATATATAAATGTACAGACACACACACACACACACACACACACACACACACACACACACACACACACATACAACCTGGGTTTTATAATAAGTATAACTCGATATGAGTTGTCCCCCTTTCATTCTCGCGACAGCGATGCGTCTTAATCGTGTTTTCAAATGGATTTCGTGCAAAAACAATTGTGTTTTTCCCATTTTGGGCGCTGTCAGAACCACTGCAAGGTTATTTTACGTAGACCTGTGAAGTTTTGTTGAAATCGGTTGAAAAATGTAGAATTCCGATCCAATATATAAATGTACACACACACACACACACACACACACACACACACACACACACACACACACACACACACACATACAACCTGGGTTTTTAATAAGTATAACTCGATATGAGTTGTCCCCCTTTCATTCTCGCGACAGCGATGCGTCTTAATCGTGTTTTCAAATGGTTTCGTGCAAAAAACAATTGTGTTTTTCCCATTTTGGGCGCTGTCAGAACCACTGCAAGGTTATTTTACGTAGTCCTGTGAAGTTTTGTTGAAATCGGTTGAAAAATGTAGGAATTCCGATCCAATATATAAATGTACAGACACACACACACACACACACACACACACACACACACACACACACACACATACAACCTGGGTTTTATAATAAGTATAACTCGATATGAGTTGTCCCCTTTCATTCTCGCGACAGCGATGCGTCTTAATCGTGTTTTCAAATGGATTTCGTACAAAAACAATTGTGTTTTCCCATTTTGGGGCGCTTTCAGAACCACTGCAAGGTTATTTTACGTAGACCTGTGAAGTTTTGTTGAAATCGGTTGAAAAATGTAGGAATTCCGATCCAATATATAAACGTACAGACACACACACACACAACCTGGGTTTTATAATAAGTATGATATATATCAATAGGACAATGACTGAAGCCGCCAATCAGGACCAATAATATTGCTGATTCGAAGCATTGGTGAATGATAAACTTACAGAGATGTAAGATAAAATTCGGAAGAGAAAAATCGTTTCACACGACACAACTTCAATTCTATAAAATTGTATTGTTGGACATTTCTTTTTAAAATTGTATGGTTGGTAATTTTACTATAAAAATTTATTTTTATACTTTCATAGTGTTTTGTTTTTGTTTGGGGTTTCACTCATAGACCATAGCTGGGACCCTAACATGTGCTACCACCACCTGTCAGGGTGGACGTGGAAACAACATCATTTAAAAGGTGGTTCAACGCTCCTCAAAACCTCCAATCTCCCGATTAGAGGCCTTGCTACCGGATTTACTTGATCGTCATACCCAGGAATGCACAACGAACTGTACCAAATAACATAAACCACATCATATGAAGACTACCAACAGCAGCAACTACTAAAATGAATAGCACATATAACTCGAAGAGAAAATAATGACACACTAAAGATGTTAACATTCCGCATCACTTCAAATAGAAGGTCAGGAAGGAACTACCTATCAATACTGGAAAGAGCGATAACAGCTCCTGGACTTGATAAACCTGTTTTCCTAAAAAAAAAAAAATATTTTAAGAGAAAGATCTTATAAATTTCAACCGAAAGCAGTACTGGCTGCTCGGCCAATGAATGCCAAATGTTTCCTTATAGGGAAACGGCTAATATTAGCATTACCATTACTATTTTTCTAAAGAAAAAACAGAGTGGGAAAGTTTATAACTATCTAATTAATTAAAAAATTCTTTGTATTCTAACGGAATAAATTTTATATTAAAGGTCGTATTTTAAATAGACAAACAATTTAAATTTGAAATGTTATTATTTAGTTCCCCAGAGAACGGACGGGGATTGAACTCGTTACATATAAACGCAAAAATATGTATCAGCAAAATCTATTTGATTATATTATTTTATGTATTTTTATTTCTTCACTGATATGAATGTCAGTCTTGGGTCAAAAATGTTTAATTTCCTTGTTTAAATAATCTGAAAAACCCATGTCAAATCTAAAAATTTCGATTTCGGTGAAATATAGTAACTTTCGTTTATCATAAGATCTTAGAATAAAGCAAGAGAATCTTGAAGAATTAAAAAGTGTGGACTTTCGAAAACAGATGCATTTCTTGAAGCAACTGAGAAGTCTTCATTCCTCCGAAAGATAAATCATCGCCATAGTCAATAAAATGAACTCAGGGAAGGTTAATTCTTTAGGTGAAGACATTTTACTGCCTCCTCCGAAAATTAACCTGCTTAGCATCTAAAGATTTCTGTTTAATCAGATCATTGGATCTTTTTCTCTTTGGCAAAACCTTTAAATTAGGGAAGAGATCAGCTCAGTAAATTCTTTCAACAAAGAAGAAAAGAATTAGTTTCAAAGTTAACTTTTATTCTTATTTCTATTAATGAGCTACGGTTTTTACAAAATCTCTCCAAATGACATTGACTTTCCGGACAGCCTAATAATTTGTAAAAGGAACGCTTCAGAGTTGTGGGTGGCCTAACAACTAACGGCATAGAGAAATTTGGGACAGGTTGTGTTCACTTTTCACTAAACGTCTTGGGAAAGGTATGGTTGTACTTCTAGCTATTGGGTAAAATTATCGGACAGTTAGAGCCCTTGTAAGTTAGCGAATTAACTCGAAATTATTGGGATTCTTTTTCTTCGGACGCTCCGTTAAAAGAATTTGTATCGGACTTTCAATTTAAATTTGGATAAGTTTTGATTACATCTCTAGAAAGACAACATTCTTCTCGAAGAAAATAATATTTATATATTATGAAGAAAACTAGCCATTCGTCCCTTGTACGAAACCAAGAGAAACTAGATAAAAAAAATAATAAAATATTCTTTATTATTGCTAATACTAAAGATGATATCAGCCGTTTCCTTAGAAGGCTAGTGTTGCTGCCGATTGAAATTCATAAAATCTTTGTAATAAAACAATTTTTCAGGAAAATAGTTTTTCCCATGACCACTAACTCTTATCATTCTTTTCAGTATTGATGGGAACTTGCCTTTTATTTGATGTATTGTGGAACGTCTACATCTTGATTATATCATAATTTTCTCTCTGTGTCGTATGTGTTATTCGTTTTAGTTGTTTCTGTTGTTAAATGTTCATAAGTGATGCAGTCTCTGTTGCTTGGTACATTTCCTTGTTTGTGATTCTGTAGCATCAGTCCACAAAGCATGATCCTCTCTTAGACGAACATTCGCTCGAATTTATTTTAAATCATGGAGCTAATAGTTTACGTAGATCTTTCTGAACAATCTGGTGCCGCGCATGACATTCATATGAAAGTCGTGACGTGGCGAGACTAACTAAAAACCTGATTCTGGTTGCAGTATTAGACAACACTACATCTATAGCGCATAAGACGTTTAAGTGGCTTATCTCCAATACTAACTTTGATATAACGGGTCCATACCCCGTGGCATTCGGGGTGTTTAGTATTTATCAATTCTACATTCTGAATTTTTATGATAGATTCAGGGTATCTGCCATGACTGCTATCATTCTAATTCTGGATCACAGTCTCCATTTTAAAAAGATATAATTTGATTCCTACTTTTTGAAAAACTTAATAGAGAATGATGATTCTTTTGTTTTGTTCAATATCATCCTCATTCGAACTATAAATACGTATGTCATCATAAATATACATTTTCCTTCATAAATATACAAAAATTACAATTGAAATTATATATATATATATATATAATATGAACATATTATAATTGTATATTATTATTATTGTTGTACTTTCGCCCTTAACTCCAGGAGTCGTTGGGGCGCCGATAAACTAAGCTGTTCATTATTTTCCTCCATCTGTTGCAGTCGTGTGCTAGAGTTGCGTATGATTTCTTGATGTGTTCATCATGTGGCATGCCGTGGGCGTTTTAACCTGACGGAGCCCATCCGATCCCAGGTATATTTTAAATATAAAAACAACAAACAGGTGAAGAAGAGCTAGGGTAAGAGGGGAATCAAAACAATATCAGCAAAAAAAACTAGTCAAACAAGAGAATGACAAAAAAAATTAGGCTAACTGGCATTCGATCCTCGCTCTTCAGAACTAATCGAGGACAAAATGTCATAATGTTTAAAAAAAACAACAATTTTTTTTCGTTTTTTGTAAACCATGAATAACAGATTAAAAAAGTATTAAAAGGCTTTCATTCTGAACCAGTAACAGCAAACCATCTAATCTAGTTAAAATCGCAGAAGCTTAACCTTTTACTGTAGTTTTCATTTTTATTTTATTTATTTATTTTGCTTTTCTTTTAGGCAGTCGCGACGGTCAGAATGACAGCAGAACGCAGAACCCAAGAAGGAAAGGCTGTGATGTATGCATTTGAAATTAATGCAGAAGAAACTAGACAACTTCCTTTTACCTATGTCAGTTCCACACACTCTACCCATCTAATCACCTATGACTTTATATCAGTTTCTACTTGTAAAGTACAAACCTGATGTTATACATAAATTTAAATCTGTTTTGTTCTCATACAGCGCAGACAAAATAACAATGCCCCTTGTAGGCTGAGAACTGTCGTCCTCATTGTCGCTAGACCAGGCAACGCCCTGCTTATTACAATGGCATGAATAATAGACGGGTGATACTAAGAACAGTAGTTCCATTTTTAGTGATTGTTTGGTAATGCATATGACTGCATGGTTGTGAAGAAAGGGAAAACAAACATTGACCAAACATAAGAAGATCTACGGGTATAAAGTTAACGATTTCTACCCCAGATTAACGAATCTCATTAGGACAGAACGGCATATATCTGAAAAAAAAATAATACCTGCTATAATTTCCATTGGTGTTTCCTGTGATAAACCGACTAATATGATTTTGAAAGCATATGAGAGTACAAATGTGACAAGAGGAAGTTCGAACAAATTTTTTATAATGTCCAAGCAATATAAAGTCTGCAATACAAATAAAAACAATATATATATATATATATATATATATATATATATATATATATATATATATATATATATATATATTTTTTTATTTATTTAGCAAATTCTCTTTTATGCATGCCTGATTAAATAAATTACAGATTTTTTGTCTGCTTATTTTAATAAAATCCGTTCATACTCACGGATAACCTTCCGTGTATTGCAATTAAATGGTGTGATAAATGTGCTATAACTAATTTAACTTATATAAAAGAAGCAAATGAACAGAACAACATGGCCTAGCAATATATATATATATACACACAATATATATATATATATATATATATATATATATATATATATATATATATATATATATGGAAAAACGTTTGAACGAAATGATTTGATTACGTGTATGAATGAATTTGTATGTTTGTTTAAATAATGAATCATTATTACTTTTTTTTTTACTAAGCTGTTGTTTCTCGTGATGAAAGAAAAGATTAAAGAAGTTGTTAATATTTGTTCTGTATCCTTTCTTTATAATTTAACCGATTCGGGGGGATTTGCCTTGGATTAACTGAAGAAAAGGCTCATATGAATCACTTGCTTTCGAGCCATTTTGAAAATGAGATGAGGATTTACCTTTAATTCGACACAGAAAAGCTGGGGAAAATATATTAATAAGTTTCGACATGAACAAAGAATTATAAAGAAAAGATACACACACACACACAAGCGCGCGTGAACACACACACACACATATATATTTAATGAAATGGATAAAGTCTGACAATTATTGAATACATTAATCGAACCTGTAACAGTAATACGGACTTTGCAAAGCAGACACTTCTTTGTGACTGAATGATTATCAGCACGTCAGATCAAATGAAGGCTCCCCATAACAGTTACAGACTCGATTCCTGCCAGAGAAGCGCATATTTTCTATGAAATTTCTCGAACATTCAGGCAAGTAAATGTAATCAATACTAAACAAAATAAAAGCAGAGCATAGTAAATAAATTATGTCAAGATAAATATATATTTTAATATATATATTAAAAAAACACAACCAGAAAAAACATATATATATATATATATATATATATATATTTTATATTATATATTTTATATCATTAACTTACTAATTTTACTTATTGTTTTGAATGATTTTTGTATATATATATATATATATATATATATATAATAACAATAAATCATTTGTATAAAAAATTTTGATTTGAATGATTTATTGTTATATATATATATATATATATATATATATATATATATATATATATATATAAATAACAATAAATCATTCAAACAATAAATAAATTTTTAAGTCAATGATATAAAATGGTTTTTTCCTTCTTTGTAAATAAATTTTAAAATGCATTTCACCACTTTATCACTCGATTAATATTATGATCCTTGTTTTTTAAACTGTAAAAATGTATTAGATCTTTCCTTAAATATACAAGTACTTTAAAAGGTTCTCCAAAATCCTCAGGCATGGAAACTATTTTTCTTTTGGGTAAAATTCAGGTAGCTAGCATCCGAGACGAAAAAATAGAATGCAAATCGAAATCTGACTTTTTGAAGTGTGTTACTGATAACAGATACAAAACTGCGGAGGGTTCAGTCGCAAAGCTAAGGTTAAATTTTTGAAAATTTAAAGGAAAGAGGTTTTTTTTTTTTTTTTTTAATAATATGGCAATTTAAGAATTTTTTTGATGTAGGAGTTTATCAGTCAACGTCGTATGAACAAATCTTTGTTTTGAAGGATTTATTGTAATATATACATTAAACTGCATCACATATTTTATATATATATATATATATATATATATATATATATATATATATATATATATATGATATATATGTGTGTGTGTGTGTGTTGGATTGTGTGTGTGTAATAAAATATGTATTATTACGATAGCTTTTGGTGAATAAGCGACTTTCAGTTTCATATGCTCTCGAGCTGTGTGCAGTTACATTTGTCTTTGAAAATGTTATTCTTCAAAAGAACACAGACGTTTTCGAAAATTCCGACATTAAAATCTTCCTCTTTGTGCTTCAGTTCAGTCAAAAGGTTAATATATAATAAATATCAATTTTATTGTCAATATTTGTATCATTTAGTTGGCTTATAGAATAAGAATAAACTTAAAATTTTATTAACCGGCCTATTCAATCTATCTATCTATCTATCTATCTATCTATCTATCTATCTATATATATATATATATATATATCTGTCTCATTCTGTATATTATCTATCTATCTATCTATCTATCTATCTATCTATCTATCTCATTCTGTATATTATCTATCTATATATCTGTCTCATTCTGTATATTATCTATCTATCTATCTATCTATCTATCTCATTCTGTATATTATCTATCTATATATCTGTTCATTCTGTATATTATTCTATTTTCCATAAATCTATCCATATCTATCTATCTTCTATTCATTCAATTATTATCTATCTATATCTGTCTCATTCTGTATATTATCTATCTATCTATCTATCTATCTATCTCATTCTGTATATTATCTATCTATATATCTGTCTCATTCTGTATATTATCTATCTATCTATCTATCTCATTCTGCATATTATCTATCAATATATCTGTCTCATTCTGTATATTATCTATCTATCTATCTATCTATCTATCTATCTATCTATGCTACTACTACTATAAATAATAATAACTCTATATTTGTTCATCACCGTTTGTGCAACTTTGAGTTTCATGCACGTGGTAATTGTCAGGCGCATGTTGAAAACTGAGTCACATTGCAAGCCCTTCTTTGAATTTTGTCAGGAATCTCATGATATATATGTTGTAGCATACCTACGGACGATAATGAGTATGTCCCTATTCACATAAATACAGAACTAAATACTGTATGTTGGTCTGCAGTTGGAGATTGGTCTGCAGCTGTGCTGGTCAAACTCTCTGTCTCCGGGCAGAGAAGATCCCCACACGAGGCTATGTCGAAGGTCAGAGTCTCGTCTCGGGAAACAGCTACCCGACCCCGTTTTATACGTTGTCTACGGGGAATTTTTGGCCTAGCCTACGGGCTCGGATACCCACATTATATTCGCCCTTGTGCTACATATGACCTCGTGGGGCGGTTGGTAGATATCCTGCAGTTGGAGATTCATTGTGGAATTCACTTGACTCACTTCTAGCAGTTCTACTTCTACGCGCCGCTAGCGAATCTTATATGTGTTGTTCTTGCCCTAAGTATTATCTTTCATTACCAACCTTCGTTTGATTATTCTATTCAGTAACATTCCCTAGGTTACAACTACATAGTAGTTTCACCAGACCAAATAGAGCAGCAATATTCAATGAGTAGACAAATGATAGATTTTTAAATGTGCAAGAAGAGTTCTGATGAGAAGAATTGTATGGCACGATACAATGAACCAATATTCCTAGCAGTAGACGTAAAAAGTGATTCCATACAATCATTCCACTTCATGTCAGTGGAAAAAATTAGCTCAAGAACGCGTAAAGTGTAGCTCTTGTGGAGTTTAGCATTAGTTATTCGTTCTGATGGCAGCCAGAAAATGTTCCCTGTAGTTTGGGAGGCATTCATATTTGCAAGCTATTTCTTGCCCCAGTTAACCACTGATTGGAGGTTCATTTCGAGAGCACTTGTCAGGTTTAATTTGTCAGATCTGTCGGACTTCCTACTAAGACAGAAGTTAATAATTGCGTCATCCGCATAAATACCTAGTTGTGGATTAGTGATATCAGTAATTTCGTTGATAAAATCAGAAATAGCGTAGCTTCAAGATTAGAGCACTAGGGTAGCCCTGCATTATTATGAAATGACATAGAAGCGTGTCCGTTAATCACAACCTTCATTACACGATGTTAGGAAGTATTTGATTAAGCTAAATATTTGTCTGGAGACTCCGTAACCTTTGACCTTTTGGAGAATGCCAATATTTCAGACCTTCGATATACGAGGGTCATTCAGTGAATTTTTCGGTATAAGGACTTCTAATACAAATAGAAGCTTGCCTTTTTTATTTTTATTTTTCAACGTAGTCTCCCAGCACTGTCACACACTTTTCCCATCTGTACACAAGCTTCCGTATTCCCTCAGCGTAAAAATCTTTGGACTGATGTCTCAGCCAGTCGCTCACAACACTTTTGACTTCATCGTCACTTTTAAACTTCGTGCCTCTCGTGAACGCTTTCAAGGGACCAAACAGGTGAAAGTCTGAAGGGGCAAGGTCTGGGTTGTAAGGGGGATGAGGGAGCAGTTCCCAGCCAAGCTCGTTGATGGTCTGCACCGTTTGGGCTGCTGTGTGAGGCCTTGCGTTGTCTCCTTCTGACTGATGACCTCTGCGTTTGTTCTTTATGTCTTTCTTGACCTTCCTCAGCAGTTCACAGTAGTTCTTCTGTCAGACTGAATGAGGTCATTGACTGATTTGATCACCTCAGGAGACCTCACTACTGTAGGCCTCCTAGGCCTGTCTTCATCCTCAACACTGCTCCGTCCTTCTTTAAACAATTTAGCCCAGTTGTAGACATTTTTTTTTGGCTGAAACATGTGGCACCATACACAGTTGACATTCTCCTGTGAATTTCAACTGGTTTGCACCCTTCAGCAACCAAAAACTTGATAACTGACTGCTGTTCAATCCTGGGGCATGCTTCTTGGTCGGCCATCTTTGTTAATCATAAAACTCTCAAAGTTTTTTTTTAATCTGCAAAAGAAATTAAATCCATGTGAAAAAGAAAAACAAAAAAAAAAAAAAAAAGTAAGCTTCTATCTGTATTAGAATTCCTTATATCGAAAAATTCACATTATTTATTGAATGAACCTCGTATCTAGGGCCACAAGTAAGAAGTGACGAGGTATTTATTGTAAAGTTTGGAGAGAACAGGAACTGGTCATGGACACATTTCTTTAGGACAATTGCAGGAATACCGTCGAATCCGCATGCCTTGGAATCTAGTTTAGAAATGATAATAAAAAGTATATCACTCGGTGGGGACTCAGGTCTAGGGGGAAAATCCGATACTCAGAAATCAGAATTTCCGAGGAAAGCATTCTGGTTTTTCTAAAGTAGATGACAACAATTCATATTGGTTGAAGATTTGCACTTGTTCAATACATTCTTGCAGATCCGTCAGTAATTTCTAGAAGCAAACTTGTGATAAGCTATACAGTGTCTCATCTATTAGCGAATAGTGACCTTTGATTCTTTGAGGTCACGTTTATACACATTACAAGAGGTGAAAAAGAGACGTCTGCTACAATCGGACCTGTAGCTCTGGTATAGCCGGAATAAGTGGACTAAAGGGGCTGCACAGGCAGAAGAGAAGTGAAAAGGTTGGGGTTTCACTTGGTGTTTCTGTACTGGCACGAAATCTTCTGTCCTAAAGAAACTCACTAATTCTTATCAGAATTATGGGAGTCAAAATGCAAAGAAGAGGAGGGAAAATGCCGGAATATCTTGGAAAGAAAGATTACCTAGCTGAAAACATTACGAAGAAAGGAAAAATTGGATAATGAGACAAAACCAAAAAATACGATCCAAACTGACAATAAAAGACATATCTCAGCTTGTGCAAACAACATAAATTTATCAGCAAATGAAAAACCACAAAATTTCTGTAATATATACTACCACACAAAAACATATCCATAAGGTAATCACCCTAATACATTCTACCATTTTTCGGACACATCCACAAGGTGTTTTTTTTAATATATAATACCACACATAACAGATCCGCAAACATCAATTTTCTAACATATTCTACCATACATTCTACACATCCACAAGGTAATCACCCTAATACATTCTTCCATACGCATACACACCCACAAGGTAATCACCCTAATACATTCTACCACACACAAACACATCCACAACGTAATCACCCTAATACATTCTTCCATTTACAAACACATCCACAAGGTAATCACCCTAATACATTCTTCCACGCACAAACACACCCACACAAAAATACAATTAGGAAAATATACTGAACAGCGCACAAACAAACCGACGCAATATAAAATTTACCATAACACAACCAGACAAAGATCAGAATACACGCACCGCCTAGCAAACAAACCAAACCTAACGACCACTACCCATATCAAAGAACACAATCAAAATTCCCCGAAAATTTCTGTTTAATATACATACAAATTATACAAAAGTAATTTAAATCTAGAAACATCTGAATAAACCTTAAACAAAAACAAACACACCTATATAGAGCCATCGAGAAACAACAACCCCAATTTTACCAAAAAAAAAAAAAAAACTCTCAATGGCTAGAAAACCTGAAATGTACAGAGAAAGAGTATCTCTTAGAAACACCAAAATATGTGGAAAAAAAATCGTTATTTTTTAGAAGCCCCAGTACGAACCAGAAGATCAGTTTAGATGACACAAAACCTAAAATAATAAACCTATCCACATATACACTTTCAAAGGACGAAATCAACCTATTAAAATTAGGCCTAAAATTCTGCCCTGCTTCGAAAATCAATATAACGGACCTAAAATAAAAGACCATAGATAATTTGAACGAAAACTCAGACTAAAAGAAATATTTAATAATAACGAACACATTACAGATGAATCATTAGTAAAAAATAAATGCTATTTCTTCCCAAACTAAAACAATAATACAAATGAGCTGAAAAATATTTTTTGAAAAAATCTGGAACCTCAACCTACAAGAAAAATCCAAACCATTCAACAAACTTACATAAACACAAAGACTAACCTTATAGAGCATCCGGAGAAATAACAATATAATTATAAAAGAAGCAGATAAAGGCAGCGCTATAGTGATCATGGACAAAATATACTTTAAAACAAAAATTCTAGAGACACTAGAGGATAAGGACAACTACAAATTAATCGACACCAACATCGACAAAAATATTATATCAAAAATTACAAAACTCCGACAACACATAAGATATTAACAAAAAAAGAAAAAGGAAAGGATTTCCTAATAAATTTCATACTAAAAACAAGCAATTTCTACGGACTACGAAAAATTCACAAATCGAGTAAAATAAAAGCAGCCATCCAAAGACAAAAATTTGAATACATTAGCATCCCAAACCCCAGTGAACTTACATTCAGACCCATAATAGCAGGACCAGCCTGTCGAACTAGAAGACTCAGTAACTTAATAGACACAATACTACAACCATTTAGTAAGCAGGTTAAATGCTGCATCAGAGACCATATTCACTTCTTTGGTTCCATATCACAGAAAGTAGATTCGGGAACACTTATGGCAAATTTTAACATCATTAGGTTATATAGCAACATACCCCATGAATTAGGTAAATAGTTATCTCATTCTGCACTGAAAAACATTCAGAAACCCTACGTCCCAGAATCACTAAGGAATTCATTATCGATATTATATACGAAATTCTAAACAATAAGACCTTTGAATTTGACAACAAAGACTATATCCAAACCCTAGGTACTGCAATAGGAACAAAAATGGCACCAACATATGCCTCCTTAACATTAGCTTACCTAGAGGAAAACCTCTACGAAGAGATAGAACAAATAGATGGAGAAAATATAAAAATCCACCAATAAATCTTGGAAACGATACTGAGATGATTGCTTCTGATTTTCTGGGAATCCTCATGGGGCGATATTAACCAATTTCAGATATTAACT